GGTCCTCCATACAACCGAACCAACCACTTGACCCTGGGCTGTCGTTCCTGTGCTTTGCAAAGAAAACGGTTCTGGCAGGTCTCCTAAGTGTCATTCTCATCATACATCCAAACTATCATGTCTGTGATTGTGATCTCTTGAGATTGAGCAGCTCACAAATGACGGTGTGTGGAAAGATTTCCAGTTTGTCGAGGCTCGACGAAGTTCGATACACACTTTACATTTCGAAAGCAGGTAAAACATCAGTGGCTTAAAATCACGTCGTTAGTCCGCAGTGTCAAGGACACTTATGTGAGCGAAAAATATGGCAGCTATTATCTTCTGTTCATATGAATTACGACGATCTAACTGGAAACTTCCTCAGTTTTCACCACCTAAGCCACGACGGTTACTAATTTCTCCTCTGTATTTAATATTCACCACTAAATGCTATATGCAGCGCATCGTTTCCTCCAGAAAAGGCGTTTCGATACTCCATTCTGAGGGTAGACTACTAAGGAGAAGTTCTAAATGCACTTATAATGAGCATCATGCTATTACGAATGCCTGAATAAAGGAGGGATTGCTAGTTCAGTGGGTGAACCAGTTTTTTTTTGCATTTACAATGCGGTGTACATTGTAGTTATATACTGGTAATTGCCTCGAGCAAGGAATTCGCCCTGTTATACGTCGATACAATCATTAGAGAAATACCAAGCAACTTTTACCTGTGAACATGGGGGGCAGCAAGGTGCTTTCTGGGTGTTCGTTTCTGGGCTTAGAAAATCATAGCCATGCTATGATGTATGAGCTTTAATTCTATCGCTTGTCCTGCTTGATGACTGACTAAAAATCAGAACCATAGTAAACCTCAAATTCAGGTTTAAATTTTGTTCCTCTGAAACCTTACTCTCTTCATCATCAAGAGACATATTTCAGTGTTGCTTATTATGGACACAAAACCGTATCACAAGGATCTTAAATTTATAAAAACAATCTTCTCGGAGGTGTCCTTGTCGCAGAGAGCGGACAACTACCAAATGCGGGATTTCTGCAGGGTTTAAATAAGGTGGGGCCTGTTCCCGTTTAGCCACTGCTGTTATCTGACAGCCGGTTGTGAACCCTCTGCGGTTGGTCAGCGCATTCCTACTAGATTAATATAATATCCTGACTGCATGTCATAATTACTCCTTGGTTGCAAGTGCCTTCCATTGTTAAGTCGCTTGACAAATGTGCTCTTTTGGAAAAGAATGTCGGCCTGTGATTAACAAGCAATCACC